TTTTAATAAAAAAAAATTAATTTCAAAGTTTAGAATTTAAATTTTCTTACGATTTCTCAAATATTAAAATTAAAATTAAAATTTTTTACAATTAAAATTAAAATTTACAATTGGAGATTTTCATTGGCAATTATAATTAAAAGTTAAAATTCTTTGGTAAAAATTTTACAATTATAATTTTTTTACAATTTTTTGCAATTTTACAAATAAAATTAAAATTAAAATATTTACAATTGGAATTCAAAAAAATTTTACAAATTTCAATTCAATTTGACAATAAAAGTAAAAGTTAAAATTCCTGCTTTATAATTTCCCAATTAACTTTTTTTTACATTTTTTTACAATTCTACAATTATATAGAATTGAAATTAAAATTTACAATTGGAATTTTTCATTGACAATTAAAATTAAAAGTTAAAATTTTTAGTTTTAATTTTACGATTTTAAATTTATTACAATTTTTTTTAGTTTTACAACTAAAATTAAAATTTGAAAATAAAATTTACAATCGTAATGGTCCTTTGACAATGAAAATTGAAAGTTAAAATTTCATACTTATTTTACAATTTTGCCAATTTTTTACAATTGTACAACTATAAAATTAAAATTAAAATATTTACAATTGGAATTCAATAAAATTTTACAATTATCAATTTAATTCTACAATAAAAGTAAATGTTAAAATTCCTTGTTTATAATTTCTCAATTATGTTTTTTTACATTATTTTTACAATTCTACAAATATAAAAATGAAATTAAAATTTACAATTAGAATTTTTTATTGACAATTAAAATTAAAAGTAAAAATTTTTAGATTTAATTTCACGAATTTAAATCTTTTACACTTTTTTTTACAGTTTTACAACTAAAATTAAAACTTGTTAATAAAATTTACAATCGGAATCGCCATTTGACAATGAAAATTTAAAATTAAAATTTTATACTTATTTTACAATTTTACAATTTTTTACAATTTTCCATTTTTTTACAATTTTACAATAAAATTTAAAATTTACAATTGGAATTTTCCAGTGACAATTAAAAATAAAAATTAAAATTTATAGTTTTTAATTGTACGATTTTTAATTTTTTATAATTTTTTTTTACAATTTTAAAACTAAAATAAAAATTTGCAATTAAAATTTACAATAGGAATTCTTTTTTGACAATGAAAATTGAATGTTAAAATTTTATACTTGTTTTACAATTTTCACAATTTTTACAATTTTTTACAATTTTTTTCATTTTTCAGAATTGCCATTTGACAATGAAAATTGAAAGTTAAAATTTTATACCTATTTTACAATTTTGACAACTTTTTACAATTATTTACAATTTTTTTCAAATTTTACAATTATATTTAAAATTTACAATTGAAATTTTCCAGTGACAATTAAAATTAAAACTTAATATTTATAGTTTTTAATTGTACGATTTTCAATTTTTTATAATTTTTTTACAATTTTACAATTAAAATTAAAATTTGCAATAGGAATTGTCCTTTGTCAATGAAAATTAAAAGTTAAAATTTTATACATTTTTTTTACAATTTTTTTTTTCAATTTTTTTCATTTTTGCAATTAAAATTAAAATTCACAATAATTAGAATTTTTCATCGATAATTAAAATGAAAAGTTAAAAATTTCACCCAATATTTGAAATGCACAATATCGAAAATAAACAATATTATCCTCACGATAATTAAAAATTCACAATCACAAATTAAAAATAATTTAAAAATCCTTTTCAAAAAAGAAGCACCTAGAAATTAAAATTAAAAAATAAAAATTTCTTTTTTAATTAAAAATTATTTTCTTGAAAATATTAGAACATATTTTTCCCCTTATTAGACAATTGTTTAAATTATAACAAGATCAACACAGTCTGTGACGTACTTTTCCTTATTAGAAAGAAAGGAGAATAATTCAATGATGACAGGAGAAGATAATTTAAAAGCAAAACTTTTTTCTTTTTTTGATTAATTGTAATTTACTTGGAATGTTATCATTTAATTATTTAACAAGCTTTCACAATACATTATAACTTTTCGGAAACTTGAAACTGAAGCTTGTTATGATATTCAATTATCTCTCCTTGCTGTTTAATGAATAGTTTCTAAATCACTTTAGCTCTAATATCGAAAGTTTTTCACTTCTAATAAATAAACAATAATTAATTTTCCTTAATTAAATCCAGTATAAAATATATCAATCAACTATATAAATTCATAATTTATAATTATTTATAATAAGTTCATAATTATTTTATTTTTTTTTATTAAAAAAAAATAATAATTAATTAATAAATAATATAATTAAAAGACGTTTAAATTCCTTTGTTTGGCCTAATGGACAAAAAAAGGAATTTAAACGTCTTTTATTTATAATATTATTATTAGTTATTTATATTATTAATCATATATATATTATTATACTATTAATATTTGTGGTAAAATATAATAATAAATTCAAATTATAAATATTTTTCTAAACATACAAATAATGCAGTAATTAAGTAATAAAATAATTAAGTAACTAAAATATTAAATTACAATTGACGTGAATTGTGTTAAATGGAATTGACCGAAAACGTTTGTGAAACGATGCGGAAACTGATTCAAGAATTATTCATGGCTGTCATTCCTCTGTTTTGTTTACTTTCATTAGACTTACAAAGTTTATAAATTCCTAACTCGAATCATTAATCTTAGAAAATCCTCTTCTCAAATCTCTATAAATAATTTTATAAAAAAAAAATTCTTTAAATTAAAAAAAAATCTTTAAATTTAAAAAAAAATCTAAATTTTTTTAAAAGGCGTCTTTTCTAAATTTAAAATTACTGGTAATTTTCCCTTTTTTAATTTTTCCATATTATATTTAAAGAAACGATAGGAAGAAAATTTTTCTTCTTCTTTTTTTTTCTTTTTGTCGAAAAAAATCATAAACACTTGAAACATTCACTCCATTCCATTTATAACAGACAAATAAATAATAGTTTTTGCTTCAGAGTTGAGATATCAATACAAAGACTTCACTTTTCATTACGAAGAATGTCCATATATTTTTATTTTTATTTTTATTTCTGTATTTTTATTTTTTTTTTTTTTAACAAATTGCACTTTCGAAATAAATATTTCTGATTTTTATAGAGATAATTTGTTTTACTTTTTGAGAATTTTTTTTATTTTTATTAAATATTCATTATATTATTTGAATTAAATAGTTATTTATTTATTAAAATTAAATATTTTTTTTATTTACTTGCTGCAATATTTTTTTATTTTCAAATTTATTATTTTTTATTTACTTATACCTACTGAAATTATATTTTATTTTTAACTCTTTATTCTTATTTTGTCAATAAAAAAATTGCAGTTTCAAAATCAATAATTGTCAATATATTGAAATGAAAACTTTTGTACTGGAAAAATATTCTTTTTTTAAATTACATGTTTCATTAAAAATCGAATTTCAAATTTGAAATTGTTCAAGTCAATTAAAAGTATAAAGAGAATAAAAAAGTTTGTATAGTTGAAAATTATTTTTAAAAATGATTGTAAAAAATGATTCACGATTTAATATTTATAAAAATTTACATTACTAATGCAAAATTTACACTGAAAAAAGAATTATTTGATTTAAATAATTAGTTGTTTATTACCAAATAAATATTCTGCTGAATCAAATAAATATTTATTTGAATCAAATGAATATTTACTTGAGTCATATATTTACTTGAGTAAAATATTTACTTGAATCAAAAAAATATTTTCATGAGTCAAATCAATTTTCACTTGAATCAAATCAACATTTACTTGAGTCAGATAAATATTTACTTGAGTCAAATCAATTTTTACTTGAGTCAAATCAACATTTACTTGAATCAGATAAATATTTCCTTGACTCAAATAAATATTTACTTGGATGAAATAATTTTTATCTAAATTAAATAAATTCTAGTTGAACAAGAAATTCCGTACTTGAAGTAAATACCATTTAATTGACTTAAACAAAAACTATTCAATTGAAAACTAATTGATACAAAAAAATATTCATTTGACATTTGACAAATAATCGTTTATTTCAATTAACTCAGTAATTACTTGAAACAAATAATTTTTATTTAAATCTAAGAAATTGTATTCGAATCAATATTTTCAGTAAAAATTATTTCATAGATTACATTTTGCAAATAAATATTTTTTTGTTATAAATAAAAATTATTTGATACAAATAAAAATTTACTTGATTTAAACAATTTTTATTTAAATCAAAGAAGGTTTTTTTAAATCAAAGGTATTAGATTATTAGAACCAATAATTTCAGTATTTGAAGCAAAAATAGTAAAATACCATTGACTTAACTAAAAATTTATTTTATAAAAACAAAAATTACTTGATACAAATAAAAATTTTTGTTTGTTATCAAAAAAAAAAAATTATTTGATACAAAAAAATATTTTTTTTGTTGGAAATAAAATTTATTTGATACAAATAAATATTTTGTTGTAGGAAATAAAATTTACTCTAAAAAAATAAATATTTATTTGATAGAAATAAAAATTTTGACACAAAAAAAAATATTTATTTGATAGAAACAAAAAATTTTGAAATACAAAAAAAAATATTTTCTCTTGCTGCAAGCAATACTTATTTGACATAAATAAATATTTATTTCTTAACAAATGTTTTATTTATTTTGATTATTTAATTTATTTAATAAACGTTTATACCTGAATCAAATAAATATTTATTGTAAAACAAAATAGACAAGTATAATGATTTCCATGAATCAAATATAAATTTCCTTATTCCAGTGCAGATATTTCAAACAGTTCAAGTCGATTACTCCAAAATTAGCAGCAATGTAAATAAATGTTGCAATTTTCTTTTATATACGAACCAAAAATCGTGTTTTCTCCATAAATAATAACTCAACTCCGAAAAAAATATATATTTTTTCCCTTTTTTTTCTCATTCATTTTTAAATAAAAATCCTCACCTGGCTGTTAGCGATAAACTTGGCACTTAAAAAAACAACCTTCTTGCGTTATCTTCTTTCTTTCAAGCCATGAGCTCAAAAAATCACCACTGCGTAGAACGAACGCCCTTTTTACAATTGAAAATTACATTTTCCACGAATACCGGTATTTTTTTTCTCCCGTCGAATCGAAAAAATTCAATATCAAAGAAGGAAATTTCTTTTTTCCCCTTGTTTTTCTTCTTATTGGGGAAATAAATCTCTCTCTCTCTGTCAAAGGAACACGTGAAAGGGACTTTTGAAGAAATTGGGAATTATTTTCGTATTTTCGTATTTTTTATTTTATTATTTCTCGGAAACGTTCTCGTTTCTTTATTATTGTTATTGTATTTTGCTTTTTGTGTCGTTATAACTTGCGGTTCCCAAAAACACTTAGCCCCCCCTTTTGTGCGCGTTCTGTCCCTCTCGGCAGTTTAGGGACGAGTAAATTCGTCTCGATCCGGACAAGACGAGTCTAGAACGCGCCTTTCAAAAGCTCCGCGCAAGCTCAGAACCCCGAAAGCCAGCAGCAGATTAAAGCGAATATCTCCTGTCGGTTGCCTCCTATTGTTTGTTCATATTTGCAAGTATCATAAATTCTTATTTGCATTTCAAGCAAGCTTTGTGACACACAGTGCAAAAAAAAAAAAAATTCACTTTTCCATTTTTTCTCTTCAATTTTGTCAAAAAAAAATTTATCAAAAACGGATTTTTTCAGGAAAGAAACATCGAGAGAAAAAATTATTGTCTGTCATTGACCTTTAGTCTCATTAACATCGAAGGGAATTATAAAATAAATATAAATAAATAAAACTAGGAAGAATAATAATAATTAAATAATAATTAATAATATTTAAATAATAATTAATAATAATTAATAATTAATTGAATAATAATAATTTTTATTTTTTGTTTCTTTAATTTTTAATTTAATTGTCAGAAAAAATTATTGTCTGTCACTGACCTTTTTCAGAATTTATTAAAATTATGAGAATATTAAATCAATAAAACTAGGAGAAATTTAATTAATTTTTTCTTTCATTAATTTTGTTATTTCTTCAATTTTTTTATTTTTATTTTTTTATACAATTTTAATTGAATTCCTCGAAAAATCCAATTATTTAAAAAAAATTATATTAAAATTCTTCGAAGGAATTCAATTATTTTAAAAAATTATATCAAAATTCTTCGAAGGAATTCAATTTTAACAAATTATATTAAAATTTAAAACTCTTCAAAGGAATTCAATTTAAAAAAAATTATCATAAAATTCTTTAAAGGAATTCAAATTATTTTCAAGAAAATTAAAATTTGTTCTCTTGAATTCAATTTTTTTGATAAATAAAAAAGTTCTTTGCAGGATTTCAATTATTTTCATTATACAATTATTATTGAATTCCTCAAAAAATTCAGTTATTTAAAAGTTTTTACATTAAAATCTTTAAAAATGTTAATTCCTGTAAAATTGGAAATGAAATATTTATTCTAAAAAATAATTAATTAATTATTTTTCTAAAAATTTATTTAAGTTTACAATAATTTTATTCAAAGACTTTAAAAAAATATCATGAATTTTGGAAAAATTGCACATATAATTTTTATAGAAATAGTTAAATTTCAAAAGGTTTTTGTATTGAAATTGAAAAAAAACTGAATAAAATTTTAATTCCTGTGAGAAAATAAATTTAGTATTTAAATAATTGTTTCACAAAAATTGAATAAGTTTTGAATAATTTACTTTTAAAATTCTGAAAAAATTAAGTATTTGAAAAATTGTAATTTAAAATTTTTTTAAATAGTTGAACTCTTTTTTAAAGAATTGTTTTTTTTTACTTTCCTCAATTAATTTTTAAATAGAATTATTCAAACTAAAAATTTCGAAAATAATTGAATTTTAGAAAAATTTTGAATTTAAATTATTATCAGGATAAGAAAAAAACTTAATATTTTTTGTGGAAATCAGGAAAAAGTCGGGAAAAATTTATTTAATTTTTTGTTTCATTCATTTTTTTCTTTTTTCAAAATTTTTTTTATTTTCTTATACAATTTTAATTGAATTCCTAGAAAAATTAAATTATTTTAAAAAATTATATTAAAATTCTTCGAAAGAATTCAATTATTTTCAAGAAAATTAAAATTTGTTCTCTTGAATTCAATTATTTGGATAAATAAAAAAGTTCTTTGCAAGATTTCAATTATTTTTATTAAAATTTTCATTGAATTCCTCAAAAAAATTAGTCATTGAAAAGTTTTTACATTAAAATCTTTGAAAATGTTCATTCCTGTAAAATTGGAATTGAAATATTTATTCTAAAAAAAAATTAATTAATTATTCTTTTAAAAATTTATATAAGTTTACGATTATTTTATTCAAAGACTCTAAAAAAGTATTAAATTTTGGAATAATTGCACTTATAATTTTTATAGAAATAGTTAAATTTCAAAAGAGTTTTCGTTGAAATTGAAAAAAAAGAAACAAATTTAATGAAAATTTTAATTCCTGTGAGAAAATAAATTTAGTATTTAATAAATATTTTTTCCACAAAAATTGTTTAAGTTTTAAATAATTTAATTTTGTAATTCTGAAAAAAAGAGTTAAGTATTTGAAAAATTGTAAATTAAAAATTTTTGAAAATTTTTTTTCATTTTCCTTAATTAATTTTTAAATAGAATTATTCAAACTAAAAATTTGGAAAGTAATAGAATTTTAGAAAAATTTTAAAATTAAATTATTATTCGAAAAAGAAAAGAACTTAATATTTTTTCTGTGAATCAGGAAACAGTCGGAAAAAATTTATCTAATTTTTTGTTTCATTAATTTTTTTCTTTTCTCCATTTTTTTTACATTTTCTTCTACAATTTTAATTAAATTTCTCGAAAAATCTCCAATTATTTTTAAAAAATTTATTATAATTCTTCAAAAGAATTCAATTATTTTGAAGAAAATTAAAATTTTTTCTCATGAATTCAATTTTTTTGATAAATAATAAAGTTCTTTGCAAAATTTTAATTATTTTCATTACAATTTTTATTGAATTCCTTAAAAAATTCAGTTATTTAAAAGTTTTTAACATTAAAATCTTTGAAAATGTTCATTCCTGTAAAATTGGAATTGAAATATTTATTCTAAAAAATAATTAATCAAATAAATAAAACTAAAGGCGAAATTTATAAAATTTTTTATTTCTTTTTAAAATTTAATTTGATTGTCAGAAAAAATTATTGTCTGTCACTGACCTTTATAAAATTTGATAAAATCGGGGGAAAATAAAAATAATTAAATAAATGAAAACAGAAGAATATTTATTTTTTTGTTCCTTTAAAATTTAATTTAATTGTCAAAAAAAATTATTGTCTCTCATTGATTTTTTTAACGAATTTGTCAAAAAATAAAAAAGTAAATAAAATTATAAATAAATAACAATAAATACTTAAAACAAAGAAAAAAAAATTTTTTTTGGTTCCTTTAAAATTTAAATTAATTGTCAAAAAAAATTATTGTCTCTCTCATTGATTTTTTTAGAGGATTTGTCAGAAAATCGGAAAATTAAATACAAAAGTAAATAGAATTATAAATAAATAAAAATAAATATATACTTAAAACTTGGAGAAAAATTTTTTTTGTTCAAAATTTAATTTAATTATCAAACAAGAATTATTTGTCATTGATTTTTTTTAAAGCACAGTTTTTCTAAGGATATCAAAAATTGAGAAAAAAGGGAATAAAAAAAGTTGCTTCACTTTTTTGATTCCTTTTTTCCCAATTTGATACTCTTAAAAAACTGTGAGGATTTTTTTTTTAAATTAGAGAAATTTAATATATAGAAATAAATAAAAAGAGAAAATTAAATTTTAATTATTTATTTAGAATTTGACTTCATTTTCCCTTTGTTTAGAATTTAATTTAATTTTTGTTTATTAAAGAAGTTTCATATTTTTTTTAATGCATTGAATTAACGTTCTTTAATTTACATTTTTTTTTTTTTTTATGAAAGATCCCTTTTTCGAATAATGCATCGCAGCGGGTGTTAAAAGCATTTTTAATACTACCCTGACTACTTATTACTATCGCCAATGAAATTTTATGCTTTTAACGTCTAATTGCATGTAAAATTACACTTATTACATTTTTTTTTGTTCAAAATTTAAAGAGTATATCTAAAATGTAATAATCGAGATTGCCTTTGTCACTATGAATTAATTACATAATATACAATTAGTAAAAGAAACCTAATTAATAATTACTGTAATCAATTCACTTATCCATCAAATATTGCAAAAATTGTTTTCACTTTTCGTGCTGAGTGAAAAAAAAATTAAAAAATAAAAAAGTAAAAAAATTAAATAAAGAAAAAAAATAAAGAAAATAATAAAGTTAAAAAATAAATTAAAGAAATCAAGTAAAATATAAATTACAATAAAAAAATTAAATTAAAACTAAAATAACAAAAATACAAATGAGAATGTAATGAATTTAAATAATATTAAAATTAAAATCAATAAAAAAGTAGGAAAATAAAAAATAAGAGTAAATCGAAAAACTATTTCTTAATTTCAAATTATGGTAATTTTATTCATTTCCTAGATTCCTAGTAAATTTTCATCAGTTTCCTATTTTTTCACTTTTTTCTATTTTCTTCTTTTCTTCGCTCAAAATGAATAAAATAAATTTCTAGTCAGGAAATGAAATAACATTTTTTTTTTAAATTCTAAAAAAGGAACCAGAATAATTTGTTTTAAATTCGAAAAGTGGATTTTATATTTGAAAAAAAATCAAAGATAAATAAACTAAAAAGAAATAAACGTTAAATCGTCAAATTTTATTAATAATTTATGTCAAGGATATAATTTTTTTTTGTACCATTTTAATTTTTTTCCATCATTTTAAAAATTTATTTTTTCTATCACTTTTTATCCATTTTCTGTAATATTTTTTATATCTTTTTGTACGTCATTTTTTTTAAGTAATGATTTAACATTATACTTATCCCCAAGGAAATAATCTCCCTAAAATGTCAACAAGACAGCAAATTTATTAAAAGAAGAAAAATTGAAAAAATTTCCTTAAAATATCAACTAGACAGAAAATTTGTTAACCAAGAAAAGAAAAGGAAGAAAAAAATTCCTTAAACAATCTATTACACAGTAAATTTGTTCGGGGGAAAAAAATTAAAAAAATTTTCCTAAAATATCAAGTAGAGATGAAATTTGTTCAAAAAATAGAGAAAATTTTTCTAAAACATCAACTAGACAGTAAAATTTGCTTCAAAAAGGGAGAAAAAATAAGCGAAAAAATTTTTAAATATTTATTATTCATGAGATTTTTTGTTCCCTACATTATTAGAGTACACACACAGTTGTTCAAGGTAAAAGAGAACAAATAAAAATTGTGACAAATTTCAGAATCCAATTTTTCACTGCGCGCAATTCTTGTGTCTCATTAAATATGCAAGGAAAAAATTTTAGACTTCTAATAATGAAAAAACAGAAAAATTGTATAATTATTTTGGTAAAATTAATCTATTGGATTTTTTTATTTTTTTTAAAGGTAAAATAATTTTTTTAATAGAAATATTTTTATTTTTAATGTTTAAATTTAAATATTTTAAATAAATTGTATTAATTTGAAAAAGTACTCGCTTGTATAATTATGATAGCAATAAAGATATTAAGATAATTTAGAAATATATAATTTGGAAATAATAAAAATATATAAGAAAAATGTAAAAAAAAATTTTTTAATAATTAATTGAACTTAGATTAAAATTTTTCTCTACAAATTTGATCTATTTGTATAATAAAAAATTGTAGATAATATTTATTTTTGAAAATATTTTTTTATATTATGTAATATTTGTAATAGTGAAACTTAGTGACACCTACAGTAGGGTCGAATTATACACTGAAGAAACCCCAGTGGATAACAAAGATTTCGTGTTGAATAATAATTTTCCATTCGAATCACAAAATGGAAGAATAATTACAACAATATTTATAAATATAAAATAAATCAATAAACAAAATAATTTTGAAATTTAATTCAGAATGAAAATTTATCTTCTTTTTTCATTTCACTTAAACTAAATTAAATACGAATTTAGTATTAAATAAAATAATTTAATTTAAATAGAATTTTTCAAAATTATATAGATTATTAAATAAATTTTAAAAGTAAACAAATGTTACATTGTTAATTAATTAATTAAAAACGTGTTAATTAATTAAATTATTATATCATTAATTTTTAATTTAGAAATTTTTTCAAAATTTTGAAAAAGTAATTTCTCTCAAGTTTTAAACGTTCAAATAAAAGAAATATTTTTTTCGGTTTTACTTTTAAAAAGATTACTAGTCTAAACTGAAAAATTTTGTAATTCAACATTTTTTCTTCATGAAAATTAATTTTTTAATTATAAATAACAATATTTTTTGTAATGAAATTCAAATTAAAGGAACTAATAAAAATATAATCGTTCGTAAATTTAAGGACATGAAAAATAATTAAAAAAATCTGCAAAGGATTTTTTTTCCAATATGGATTAATTCAATTAATAAAAATTAATTTTTTTCATAAGGCAATTTTTTTTATTTTCGCGAAAGGAAAACATATTTTTCTATAATTAATTAATTATACATTGTACATTTTCTTCCATTATTCTACATCCGCACAAAAAATTGGTATATCAATATTTTTCTTACAATTAAAAAATAATGATTCAAAATATTTCCTTACTATATAATAAAATTCTCTCGAAAAATGGTAATTTTTAGCTTAAAATAGACAATTGTTTTTATTTTTTATTTTTTGCTTTTTACAATTTGTTGTGCAACTACAAAATTATGAAAATTTTGCATTACAGTATTTATACATAAACATGTATATTTTATTACTACTATTTTTTCACAGCATTTATTGACGCAATTTTTCCTATTTTTAAGAATTTGTCTATTATAAATATACTTACAGCAAAAAAAAAAAAATTTACAAAAGCCTTTGAACATTTTTAACAATTGATAATAATTATAATTATATCGTAACTTGTTTTATTATACTTGATGCGAAGCTATTAAAATATTATCTCTTTATAAAATAATGTATGTATACTATTTTTTTACTTCTAAAAAATTTAATTTAATTACTCTTACAATGAAAATTTGCTAATAATAATAATAATAATATATAAATCATTGTATTATTCTAGTAAATATTGTCATAATTAACTACACTGCTTATCTATATTTAATTTTCCTTTCTTTTCAATTTTCAAAGGAAGTTAAAATGTTTTATATAAAAATTAATAATTGTCAGCGTGAAAGCACTAATTTTTGTTTGTGAGTCAATGTTTACTATTTAAAATAATTAAAATTAATTATTTAGAAAATTTTATTTATTATTTATTCGAAATTATTTCTAAATAACTCTAATAATTTTATTTATTTATTTGAAAAACATACGGGCAAAATTCAAAATTATTTTTGCGTTTTTCTAATTTTTAGGTTTATTCGAAATTTTTTTCAAAATTACTCTATAATTTTCAAATCTATTCAAAATTATTTTTGCTTTTCTGTAATTTTCAAGTTTATTCGAATTTTTTTTTAATTACTCTAATTTTTGAAATTCAAATGTATTCAAAAGTATTTTTAAAATTACTCTAATTTTCAAATTCAAAAGTATTTTTAAAACTACTCTAACTTTCATAATTTTTTAATAATTTAAATATTCTCCTTACGGTTTGTTGAGAATATAATAATTTCTTTAGGAACTTTATATATATATTAATTAAAATTTATACTAACTATTGTCTGCATTTTCGATCCGAATGATATTGTTTAACTAAACGTCTTATAACATTTTGATAAATTCTGGAATTTCTCCTCTCCTGGGCACGAATTAATGGCATTTCATTGTTATTCGAAATTGTTTTGCGTTTTATTCCGGGTCTGTGCACCAAAAAAGCGCCGTCCAGAATTATAAGACGATAATTCATGAGGCACATCTCAAACATCTGGAATATTATAATTTATAATTAATCCAAATATTAATAATTGTTTACCTTTTGAATTTTTTTTTTATATTTTTCTTTCTATTTTACTTTTTAGTTCTTTCATTTTTTATTTATTTCTGCGCAAAATATTGTTTGTAAGGTTTATTTGTTTATTTAATTTTCATTTTTTTTATCTATAAACTTTTTTTTAGTTTTCTATGTTATTTTTTACTTCTTGTATCTAGAAAATATTTTTTGTTAGTTTTCTTACTATTTTATTTTTTTGTTTTTTATCTACAAGATATTTTTTGGAATAATATAAATTTTGTTAGTTTTCTTTTTACTTTATTTTTTTAGTTTTTTTGTCTAGAAATTATTTTTTGTAATTTTTTTTCCTTTTCTTTTTATGTTAGTTTTTCGTTTTTTTATCTACAAAATATTTTTTGTAATTTTTTTTTAGTTTTTTTATCTACAACATAATTTTTATTATTTTTTGTTAGTTTTCTTTTATCTTTTTAGTTTTCTAATTTTATTTTTTCGTTTTTTATCTACAAACTATCTCTGCAAAATATTTTTTGGAATATTTTTTTACTTTTCTTTGCTTTCTATTTTTTCGTTTTTATATCCATAAAATATTCTTTGCTTTTTTAAATAGTTTTCTCTTTCCATTTTGTTTTTGTATCTACAAAATATTTTATTTATAAAAATAAGATAATTTTAATTAATATTTTTCGTATAAATATTAAATTTGAATTAAATAACAATAATTATATTTAGAAAATTTTTTCTATTTTCAGAATGGATAGAGAAAGGGAGAGAGAAGAAGATTAAAAAAAAATCAAGAAGTGGAATTCTACTGTAAATTTTTAAAACTCTAAAAATTATTCCATTTTAATTATTTATAATAATTTACATATTTTTTTATATGCATAATTTTTTATATTTTATGTGAAAAGTTTTTATCCTTCGGCTTAAGTTTTCTTTTCTTCTTCTTCTTTCTATTTATTCGTAATTTCATCTAAAATTGCAGCTTAAAATTACCTGAGCCATTTTATCTTGACGACCCTCCCACGTCATATCTTCCGTATAAAGTGGATCATTTTTAGTTCCAATAAAAACTGGCTCCCATCTGTGATTAGGAATTTCCCTTCTTGTTATAATAAACGGCTTCACTTTACCGGAATTAGGTCGTAGTAACCATCGTGTGAGTCCTGGAAATCTTTGACAGTGAGAGCAGACGTATCTTTAATTTCACAAAAAAATATTTTTTATTATTATTTTTCCCATTTTGTTTACTTTTATTTACTTTTTATTATTATTATTATTATTATTATTATTATTATTATTATTATTATTATTATTTTTATTACTAATAGTATTTTTATTAATATATATTTATTATTATTTTTATTATTACTATTAAAGTATTTCTACTACTTTCTAAATTTGAATTACAGTCGAACCTGTCGGAATGCAACTCCATTTTTAAAATTTTATTACATTAAACAATATCATTAAAAAATTGTATTATAATTTAATTTTGTAATATTTTTACAATATTCTGGAACTAAGTGTAAATAATTCTTGTTGGACATTTTTGAATACAAAAAAATTTTTATAATAGAGTTGCATTCTGACAGGTTCGACTGTAGTAAAAATGTTTTTTAATAAAATTCCTTCAAAAAAATCAAATATTTTTAAAAATTCAGATAAAATTCTTCAAAACAATTCAATTATTTTTAAAAATTAAAAAATTCTTCGAAACAATTCAATTATTTTTATGAATAAGAAAATTCTTCGCAAGAATTAAAATATTTTTATAAATAATAAAATGTTTCGGAGAAATTCAATTATTTTCAATACAATTTTTATAAAATTTTTCGAAAGAATACAATTGTTTTTAATAATATTATTTAAATTTAATTATTTTCAATTGCGTTTTAATAAAAATTCAATTACTTTTAACAATTCTGATAAAAAATTCTGGGAAACAATTCAATTATTCTTATAAATTGTAAAATTCTTGGTTAAAATTCAATTATTTTTGTAAATAACAAAATTCTTCAGAGAAATTCAATTATTTTTAATTAATAATAATTAATAATAAACACGATTATTGTAAAAACTTGAATGAAATTCTTCATAAAATTCAATTATTTTCAAAATTTTCAGTAAAAATTATTTTTAAAAAAGTTTATTATTTTAAAGAAATTTAATAAAACTCTTGCCAAGAATTAAATTATTTTCAATACAATTTTAATTACATTTTCTCAAAAGAATTCAATTATATGAAAAAATGTTGATAAAATTCTTGAAATGATTTCCATTATAGTCAAATTTTTTTATAAATACTTTACAAGTATTCAATGATTTTCAGTACATCAAAAATTTAATTATTTCTAAAAATAATTGAATTATTGAATAGAATTTTATTAAAACTTTTTAATATAATTAAATTCCTGGCAAAAAAAATTTATTATTTCTGCAAATAATTGATTTTTTGTAAAATTTTAAAGAATAAGTGAATTATTGAGGAGAATTTTATGAAAATTATATTTAAAATAACTAAATCCCTGTGAAAAATTTACTATCTATTGATATAATTGAAATTTTAGAAAGAAATCATTTAAAAATGGAATTTAATATAAGTGAAATTCTGATAAGAATTTTATTATTTATATAAAAATAATTGAATTCTTTTTACGACGATTTTCATTATTTATAAATTGACTTTTTGCAAAGAATTTTATTACAATTATTAAAAATAATTCAATTCTTGATAAATTCAATTAATAATTCAATTGATAATTCAATTACTTTCAAAAATTTTCAGTAAAAATTATTAAAAAGACTCCACTATTTTTCAAGAATATTGAAATAAAATATAATTTTTTAAAAACAATTCAATCATTTTAAAGAATTTCAATAAAAATTTTGCCAAGAATTATATTATTTTCAATGCAATTTTAATTACATTTTCTCGAAAGAATTCAATTATTTTCTTAAATAGTAAAATCTTTGCACAATTTCAATTATTTTCAAAAAAATTTTCCGAAAGAATTCAAATTTTTTCTTAATTCGTTATAAAATCTTCGAAAAAATTCAATTACTTTCGAAAATTTTCACAATTGAATTTAATTTTGTTCTTATTTCGATATAAAATATTTCAAAAGAATTCAATTATTTTCTAAAATTTTATTAAATCTTTTGAAAAAATTCAATTATATGTGTAAATAGTAAAACTCTTTGCAAAAATTCAATTATATTTAATACAATTTTTAAAAAAATTCAAAAGAATTCAATTATTTTCTAAAAATTTATTTAAACTTATTTTCCAAAAATTTTTTGCAAAAATTTAATTATTTTTAATACAATTTTAATAAAATTTAATAAAAAATTTAATTAAAAAAGAATTTTCATAATATTTTTCAAAAAATTTCAATTATTTTCTAATCTTTTAATAAATCCTTCAAAACAAATCAATTATATTTAAATAAATAGTAAAATTCTTTGCAAAAATTCGATTATTTTCAATAAAATTTCACGAAAGAATTTAATTTTTTTTTAATTCGTTATAAAAATTTTTCAAAACAATTGAATTATTTTCTCAAATTTTAATAATATTCAATAATTAAATGTTAAATTTTAGTTATTAATAAACACAATTATTTTAAAAAACTTGATAAAAATTGTACATAAAATTGAATTATTTTCAAAAATTTTAATTAAAATTATTAAAGAAACTCCATTATTAAAAAAATAGATTCAAACAAATTTTTTAAAAAGAATTTAATTAGAATTTTCAAAAATTTTAACAAAATTCTTCTCAAGAATTTTATTATTTTCCTAAATAATAAAATGCGTCGAAGGAATTCTATTGTTATCAAATTTTTTTATTATATTTCTATGCAACAATTCGATTATTTTTAATTCAAAATTTAAAATTTAAATAAATAAATTTAAATTTATTTATTTAATAAATTTAAATTTAAATAAATTTAATTAAAATTTAAAATTTTTAATTTTTAATTGAAAATATTTATAAAGAAAAGTTATTAAAAAAGTTAAGAAACAAAAAAGCAAACAACAACTAACTTTAAACTGAATATTAATTTCAATATTAAACTATTACCGGAATATAACGATGATTAATATAGATTAGGAGAAATTACTATTTATTATAGTAAAATTTACTATTTCAAAAGAAAATATAGTAATTTCCACTTTTTTGGTATTAAAATTCACTGATTAAAAAGCAAAAAGTCAGTCACTAATTTAAATTAGTAAAAATTTTTACTAGTTCAAATTTAGAGAGTAGTAATTTTTAGTCCAAGCTAACAACATTAATTGTACTTTGATAAAATTTGATAAATTTTCACAGTTTTTCTAAGGATATCAAAATTGAGACAAAAAACGAATCGAAAGTGTTTCGATTCGTTTTTTGTCTCAATTTTGATAAAATTAATTTACATTATAAAAAAAAAGAATTTTTTCAAAACTGGGGCATAATTATTATTTATTGAATAATTATTAATTAATTATTGACATGCCTGTGAAAATAAACAGCCGATCCAACTCGATGTGCGGTGAGCAGTTGATTTTTATTGCTCGGCGGCTCCTCATTAGCTTCAATTTCAAAAACGGGAAGAACAAAGACGACATTATTTCTCGTCGATCGTTCTTGGAGCATTTGCTGAAAGCCCGAAGCCATTTTTGCACTCGGCAGAAGCTCTATGTCGGAGACGAGGACACGATCAGTTTGTGCTTGTACACGAGCAATGTTCCTCGCAACATTTATCGGATACGTCATTCCCCTTTGTTTTCTTTCGGTCGCAGCTTCCCTCCATTGAAGATCCGAAGCCGCACAATCTCCCTTGAAGCGACTAAAGTCTCCTAAAGCCGGCGGTCGGCCAGCAGGGAATATTAGATGAACTGAAACCTGTCAAAATTTATTCCAAGAGGTATTAAAGATATTAATCTTTATTGCTTTCATTATTATTATTATTATTATCAATATTTTTAATATTATATTATTTTATTAATATTGAATTTTCCTGGAATTATTCACAAATCATTGTCAATCATCAGCAAGTCATTTTACTATTAATATTATTTATTATTTATTATTATTACTACTACCAGGTACTATTATTATTATTTATTATTATTATATTATAATAATTTAATTAATTAAAATTTAAATAAATTATAATAATCGCCATAATTTGTCCTCACGTGAAGTTAGTGTTGTTTTATTCAAATTTTTTGTTTTATAGTTCGAATTGTTATGTCAAAAGGTTGACAGTTAATTTTTTTAATAATAAAATAAGTGGAGTACGAAAATTTAACCCCAATTTCAAAAACTCAATAAAAAGGTTCAGTTGCAATTTTTAAAAATAATTAATTATACTATGAATTTATGTATTTAATTTAAATACATTTTTGTATATTTTAAATAACTGAATTTTGATAAGAATTGATTATCAAAATTATTTATTATTGATTTAAAAAAGAATTTTAGTTGAAACTTATAATAATATTATTTAAAAATTCTAAAAAAAAATTGGATTTTAAAAGACTTGCAGTTGAAATTTTCATAAAAAAATTTTCCAATTGTTTCGAAAATCGAAATTTTAAGCAAATAAAGAACAATATGTATTTAAATATTAATTTTACAAAAAAGATTAAAATTTGAAAGATTTAATTTGGAGATTCTGAAAAAATTAGGTTTTTAAAAAACAGTTATTACAATTTTTTGAAGATATACTGGAATTGTCGAAAATAATTTTAGAAAATTGAAACTGTTGGAAATTTTGTAAAATTTTATATTTTTTTATCTTTAAAAATTATCTATAAATTATAATTGGATTTTTGAAAATACATTATTTTAAAAATTTACAAAAATTATTCTATTTAAATAATTCAATTCTCGTCGTTTAATTCGGATAGCAATTGATTAAAAAAATTTCAGTTTAAATTTTAGAAAATAATTGAATATTTAAAGCGTTATAACAAGAATTTTAGGAATTGATAAAATTTTAAAAAGTTTTTAAATTAAATTCCTTAAAAAACTTAAGGGAAGCAAAAATAATAAAATATTAAAATATTTATTTTAAAAAATTATCAATTACCTATACATTATTTTTCTTTACAAATTCTTAAAGTTTTTCAATATAGTTTTATTCAAAAATTCTAAAAAAATAATTTAATTTTGTAAGAATTATAGTGAATTACAGTTGAAACTTTTAGAAATAATTAAATTTCATGAGGTTTTTCATTGAAATTATTTAAAATTTTAATTCCTGTCGAAAAATAAATAAGAATAAGTTTTTAAATTTGAAGTTTTGAATAATTTAATTGAAAAAATTCCGAAAAATTGTTTCTTGACTTCTTTGAGGAGGTACTCAAATTTTTTTTTTTAAATAATTGTATTTCCGAAAATAATTTTAAAAAATTGAAACAATTGAAAATTTTGTCAAATTTCATTGAAATAAATTTATATTTATTTATATTTTAATGACTTTTATGTGTTTACGAAAAAATTCAATTATTTTCTAAAATTTCAATTTAATTGAAAATTATTTTATTAAATAGTAAAATCTTTTCAAAAATTCAATTATTTTTAATACAATTTTAATAAAATTTCATGAGAGAATTCAAATTTTTTTTATTTTTAATATTTTTTGAAAAAATTCAATTATTTTCTAAAATTTTAATAAATATCCTTTAAAACAATTCAATTATTTTCAACAGAAGTTTAAGACAATTTCAAAAGGATTGAATTATTTTCTAAAATTTCAATAAATCATTGGAAGCAATTCAATTATTTTTTTAAATAGTAAAATCTTTGCAAAAATTCAATTATTTTCAACAAAAATTTTAATAAAATTTCACGAAAGAATTTAATTATTTTCTAAAATTTCGATTTAATTATTTTATTAAGCAATAAAATGTTTGCAAAAATTCTACTATTTTTAATACAGTTTTAATTAAATTTCATGAAAGAATTCAATTTTTTTGTAAATTTAATTTTCTGAAAAAATTCAATTAATTTTAATACAGTTTTAATAAAATTTCATGAAAGAATTCAATTTTTTTTCAATTTTCAATATTTTTTAGTCTTTAATATTTTTCGAAAAAATTCAATTATTTTCTAAAATTTTAATGAATCCTTCGATACAATTCAATTATTTTTAGAAATAGTAACATTTTTGGCAAAAATTCAATTATTTTTAAGACAATTTTAATTAAATTTCATGAAAGATGTCAAATTTTTTTTTAATTTTCAATATTTTTTGAAAAAATTCAATTATTTTTAATACAATTTTAATTAAAATTTCATGCAAAAATACAATTATTTTCAATACAATTTTAATGAAATTTCATGAAAGAATTAAAATGTTTTTTAACTTTTAATATTTTTCGAAAAAATTCAATTTTTTTTATACAATTCTAATTAAATTTCATAATAGAATTCAATTTTTTTTAATTTTAATATTTTTTGCATAAATTCAATTATTTTCTAAAATTTTAATAAATTCTTTGAAACAATTTCATTTATTTTTGTATGTAGTAAAATTAAGCGCAAGATTAAATTAATTTTTGTGAATAATAAATTTTCTTCTTAGAATTCATTCATTTGTTTGTTTTGAAAATTAATTTTTGTGGGTTATTGTCATTTTTTTTCAATGTCAAAGAAAAACTCGTTTTATTCACTTCACAAAATTGAAAAAAATTCCATTCCATATTTTTTATTTTCCTGACTTTTTCCTAATTTTCATCAAAAATATTTACTTTTTTCTCATCCTTTCAATAAATTGAATTCCTGCAACGAATTTTATTATTCATCAAGGAATTTTAATATTTATAAAAATTGAATTGAATTCTTACGAAAATTTTTACAAACCATTTTTTAAATAATTGAATTCTGTTTGGAAATTTTTTGATAATAGTAGATATTGAAAATCATTGAATTGCGAAAAGTTTTTAATGATAATTAAATTTTACAAAGAATTCTATTAAAAAATTTGTCAATAATTGAATGTTTGGAAATTTTATTAAACTTTTTTGAAAATAATTGAATTCTTATGAACGATTTATTAGAATTTTTTTTAAAATAATGTAATTCCAAGAAGAAAATTATTATTTTTAAAAATAATTGAATTATTGTGATGAATATTCTTATTTATGAAAACAATTGAATTCTGAAAAGAATTTTATTAAAATACCTCAAAATAATTGAATTTTCGGGAGTAATGTTCTTATTTATCGACATAATTGAATTCTTAGAAAAAATATTGTTAAAATTTTTAAAAATAATTGAATTATTTAATTAAAATTGTATTTAAAACAATTAATTTCTTTCGAACAATTTTATTAAATTTTTGAAAATAATTATTCAATCCTTCCAAAAAATATTAAAAAAACATTTTTTTAAATAATTGATTTTTTCGTGGAATTGAAATTAAGTTTTTAAAAATAATTACTGTAAAATTGTATTAAAAATAATTGAAATCCTGCTATGAATTTTATTATTTATGAAAATAATTGAATAGTTGCTAAGAATTTTATTATAATTCTCAAAAATAATTTAATTTCATAGAAGAATTTTATTATTTTTGAAAATAATTGAATTATTGCGGAAAAGTTTATTAAAATGTTTAAAAAGAATTGAATTTCTGTAAAAAAATTTATTATTTTTTAAAGTAATTGAATTCTTCATAAGAATTTTATGAACATTGTTTTAAATAATTAATTTTTTCGAAATATAATAAATATTATGAAAATTTTATTAGTTTAAATAATTGAATTCTAGTGGAAAACTTTATTTGTGAAAATAACTGAATTTTTCGATTATTAATTTAAAATAGTATTAAAAATAATAATTGAAATCATTCGATAAGTTTTATTATTTATGAAAATAATTAGATTCATGTTTAGAATTTAATCAAAAATTTTTTTAAAAATTTGAATTATCATGAAAAATTTTATTATTAGTGAAAATTGATTATTTAATTATTACTTAAATTAAAATTACTTGAAATTGTTTACAATAAACAGTGCAATATAACATTCCCGCGCGCTTGCGCGGGGATAATTTGGCTAGTATAATAATAATAAAAATTAAATTTAAGAAGCAAAAATTTTTCTTGTCAGAGAAAAGAAAAATTAGAGGGATTTAACATTTATAAGGGATTCAAAAGTGAGAAAAAATAATAAAAGAAGAATAACTTGAGGGATTTAAAATTTTTAAGAGAGTCATAAGTGAAGAAAGTATATAATAAAGGAAGAAAAATTTAAAGAGATTTAAGATTTTTAAAGGAATGGAAGGTGAAACAAATAGAAGAAGAAAAATGTAAGAGATTTAAAATATTGAGTCAAAAGTGAAAAAAATAATAAAAGAAGAAATAAATTACAAAATTTGAGGGATTAAAAAATTTTAAGTGCGAAAAAAATTAATGAAAGAAGAAAAATGACCTTGGACATGGTTGGTTCGCAGTAGCAGGCTCGATTTAGAAGTGCGATTGCCAAACCGGCATCGAGTCCGGGTGCAAAAATGGAAAAACTTAGGGGTCCCTCCCATCTTTTTGCGAGTTCGACGATCGAGTAGACTTGATCGGCAGTCGAGTGGGTACAAAGTGTGATTTTGGGAATTTCTTTTGCTGTTGTTGATTCTTGGATAATTTGAGGAAGAATTCTGTAAGGCCCTTTTATTCCAGCTTCAGGAGTGCCACTGATTTTTGACTGTAGGAAAAAAAATTCTTGAGGTAGATTGTAGTGCCAATTGCAGAAACTTGTATTTTCTGGCTGTCTTCCTGACATATAGGAACCGGCAGCGTAGAGGGGAGCACCTGAAAAAGATAGTTTTCTAAAAAGATTTTTTTTTTTTTTTTTTTTTTTTTTTATCGACTCTGATTATAGAGGGGATTTTATATAATAATATAAAGGTGGAAAAGTAGAAAATTCCGAATGTGGTCAGACATAACACTTCATACGTTGCGTTGGTCCTTTGAAATTTTTAATTTTTTATCGCTTTTTAAGTGGAAAATTCCGAATATGGTCAGACGTTGGACTTCATACGTTGGTGGTTAGTCCTTTGAAATTTTTAATCTTTCATCACTTATTAAGTAGAAAATTTTGAATATGGTCAGACAACACTTCGAATGCAATATTAATAAAATTTCTTTAAAAAAAATCAATTTTTTTAAATTTTTAATATTTTTCAAAAAAAATTCAATTATTTTCTAAAATTTTATTAAATCGTTCGAAAAAATTCAATTATTTTTTAAAATAGTAACAATTTTGGCAAAAATTCAATTATTTTTAATACAATTTTAATAAAATTTCATGAAAGAATTCAATTCTTTTTAAATTTTCAATATTTTTCAAAAAAAATGAATTATTTTCTAAAATTTTAATGAATCTTTCGACACAAATCAATTATTTTTATAAGCAGTAACATTTTTTGCAAAAGAAAATTTAAAAAAAAATTTAAATGAAATTTCCCCAAAGAATTAAACTATTTCCTCTTTTTAAGTAGAAAATGTCGAATATGGCCAGACAACATTTCGAATGTTAGTGTCCTTTTTAAGTAGAAAATGCCGAGTAAAGTCAGACTAAATATTGAAAATGTATTTTAAATTTCAGCTGAAATTTAAAATACATTTTGCAATATTTAGTCTGGCTATTAAAGTAAAAAATGTTATAAATCAAATTCTCTTTAAGAAATTTTAAATTTATTTTGAAAAAAATATTTACAAAATTTCTATTTGTTAAAAACGATTGTAAAAATTATTCGAAAACATCAATAACTTCTTTTTTTCAATAAATATTTAATCATTATATTATTTTTCCACAGGAATCAAGATTTTCAAAAATTTCAAATTCGAACTTTTTTGAAATTTAATAATTTATAAGAATATTTATTATAAAAAATGAAAAAATTAAATATAACCGAGTGATAAGATCATTATTTTATATAATAGAAATATTTTTACTGTAATTTTCTCAAAATTATTTTCATCATTTTAATTCAATTATTGTTATTTTCTAGAATTTTTAAATAAAAGTCATCTTTAAAAAAATTATCTTTAATAATTTTTGGAAAAATTCTTTGAGAATTTTCAAATCCATTTTCCATTCAGAAAATTTTCAATTGAATAAATGTCTTAAAAAGTAAACACTTTAAATAATTTCAGAAAAAAATCCAATTGAACTTTTTTAAAATAATTAATTCTACAGAATTGTTGGTTATAAGTATAAAAAATTAAGATTTTTGAAGAATTTAATTTGAAACATTTTCAAAATTCAATTATTTCTTAAAATTCATGCTATAATGCTTTTTATATTTAAATATATTATTTGAATATTTGAATAATTTAAATAATAAATATTCAAATCTAAAAGTTTAACTGAAATTCATTTTTAAATCAATTTTTATTAAAAAATTCTACGAGAATTCAATTATTTAACTATAAAAATAAATATTTTATTAAACAATTGAATGTTTCTTAAAATTGAATTCTCATAAAGAATTTTTGTAAATAATAAAATTCATATTAAATTGAGGAAAATTTTTTAAAATAATTGAAATTTAGCCATAAATTTTATTAAAATTTTTTTTAAAAATTGAATTTTGCCAAGAATTTTATTAAAAATTTTTAAAATAATTGAATTTTGACAAGAATTTTATTAAAAATGTCAATTAAAATTTTTGAAAACCTAACTAATCTTTAAAATTTCTAACAAAATTCATTGAAAATTGTTAGTTTAAAAGTTTGACAGTCAATTTGCAAATAATTAAATAAGTGGAGTAAGAAAATTTAACATCAATTTTAAAAACTCAATAAAGAAGTACAGTTGCAATTTTTAAAAATAATTAATTATTCTATGAATTATTTATTTTTGTAATTATATAATTGAATTAATTGATTTAAAAAAGAATTTTATAATTAAAACTTTAGAAAATAATTAAAATTGTTAAAGTAGGATTCTTTAGAAATAATTACATTTCATGTAAAATTAATTTTACAAAAATGATTGAAAAATTGAAAGATTTAATTTCGAAATTCTGAAAAAATTAGGTTTTTGAAAAATAGTAATTAAATTTTTTTAAAGATATACTCGAATTCCAGAAAATAATTTTAAAAAATTGAAACAACAATTAATTGTAAATTTTTATATTTTAAAGAATTTTATTTTTCATTTTTAAAAATTTTCTATTGGGAATTAATTAAATCTTAAGAGGTTTTTAAATTAAATTCCTTGAAAATTTACGAGAAGCAAAAGTATAAAAATAATATTACAATTTTTATTTTAAAAAATTATTAATTACATTATTTTTCTTTAAAAATTCTTAAAGTTTTTCAATAATTTTATTCAAAAATTCGAAAAAAAATAATTGAATTTTGGAAGAATTACAGTTGAAACTTTTTAGAAATAATTAAATTTCATGAGGTTTTTCATTTCATTTCCGAAAAAATGTTTTTTGAAAAAATGGAATTAAAATTTTTTGAAAATAATTGTATTTCCGAAAATAATTTTAAAAAATTGAAACAATTGAAAATTTTTGTCAAATTTCATCGAAATTATATTTTAATAAATTTTATTTGTTTACTTTAATAAGGGAACGTTCATAAACTACGTAGCACGTCTAGGGGGAGGGGGGGGGGGGGTCAAGCAATTGTCTACCATAAGAGGAAAAAATGGCGCTAATACATGTAATTGTGTCCACGTGGGGGAGGGGGGGGGGTTAAAATTTCCAAAAAATTGGTCTACGTAGTTTATATGGACGTTCCCTAACTACTTGAAGGGAAAAGTCCCGTATTGTGTCAGACAATAAGTTACTATAAACAGTAGTATAGTCCTATATATAGTCAGACAAAATTGAGAGATTAATTAATAAAAAGTCTAAAAACTAAAAATTATTATTTAAAAAAGTTTTTTAAGGGAAAAATTCCGTATTATTTTAGACAAACTATTTCGTCACTGAAGAATAGTAATAATCAGTAGTAAAGTCTTGTGTATGGCCAGACAAAACTGCCGAGTAATTATTAATAATAATTAATATTTTCTAAAATACTACTTTAAGGAGAAAATTCTCTGTTGTGTCAGACGTGATATTCCATCGAAAGGAAACAGTAGTAAAGGTTTATATACAGTCAGACAAAATTATGAGACAAATTAATTAAAAATAAAAAAATTAATTAAATTTTTTTTTTTTACTTTTTTTTTACTTTTTCAAGGAAAAAATTCCCTGTTGTGTCAGACATAACACAACGCTGTGTTAACAGTAATCAGTAGTAGAGTCGTATGTATAGTCAGACAAAAATAATGCGCGATTAATTAATATTTCAAAATGAAAAACTTCTTCAAGGGAATAATTCCGTATTATGTCAGACATTATATTTCGTGAAATAGCTATAGACAGTGGTAAAGACAAAATTATACAATTAATTAATATTTCATAAAAAAAAAGTTGTTCAAGGGAAAAATTCCGTATTGTATCAGACAAAATTTCCTTTTATACTATAATCAATAGTAAGGTCCTGTGTATGGTCAGACAAAATAGACTCTACGATTAATTATTGTCTCCTAAAGACTTCTCTAAGGAGAAAATTCTCTATTGTGTCAGACATAATATATCATCGCTCAGTAATAAACAGTAGTAAAGTCCTGTGTACAGCCAGACAAAATTAGCAAAAAATAATTAATACTTCTTAATGACTTGTTGAAGTAGAAAATTCCGTACAATGTCAGACTTTCATCAGTGGTAAGGTCCTGTGTATTGTCAGACAAAAAATACGATTAATTAAAATGAAGAATCAATTTTTTCTTCAACGTTAGGAGAAAATTGGAAAAAATACCCCTTCTTCAAGTAGAATATTCCGGGTATAGTCAGACATTCGAAAAAAATCAATATATTTTCTTCGCAGTAGAAAAATTCGTATTCTATCAGACAAATACTTATTTTTTTATTATTTATTATTATTATTATTATTATTATTATTTATATTATTATAAATAAATAAATAAAATTTATTTTTATCATTTCGATTATTCATTACTAGAATTTTCAACTCAAATTCTTCTTTAAATCAATTTTTTAAAATAATTTTTGAAAAAGTTCTTTCACAGTTTTCAAATCTTTTTGTTTACAATTTAATTTTACAAAATTTCGATTATTCTGACATTCTTCAAATAAATATACTATTAGAAATTAAAAACTTCAAATAATAAAAAAAAAATTCCACTAAACTTTTTGAAAAAAATTAATTCTACAGAGTTTTTAATTAAATGTATGAAAAGTTCAAATTTTCCAAGATTTTAATTTGAAACTTTTTGAAAATTCAATTATTTATTAGAAAATTCTATGAGAATTCAATTATTTAAATACAAAAATAAATATTTTATTACATTAGATAAATGTTTCTTAAAATTGAATTTTTCATAAAGAATTTTATCAAAAAAATTTTTAAATAATTAAATTCTCTTGATAAATTTTAATAAATATTTTTAAGAATAATTGCCTTTTTTGAGAAATTTGATGAAAATTGTGTATTAAAAATAATTAAATAATAATTTTGTTATTTATAAAGATAATTGAATTTTGACGAGAATTTTTGAAATTAATTAAATTTCTATATGAAGAATTTTATTAAAATTATTTTCAAAAAAAATTGAATTGTTACAAAGAATTTTATTAAAATTTCTGAAAATGATTTAAAATTTTAAAAAAAATTTATTTAAAACTGGATTGAAAATAATACTTAAATTCTAATAAATAAATTGTAGCAAAGGTTTTTAAAATAATTGATTTTCTTTGATAAATTTTAATATTTTAAGAATAATTATACATTTTTCGAGGAATTCCATTAAAATTGTATTAAAAAAATAATTAAAAGTCTGCGATGAGTTTTAATATTTATGAAAATAATTAAATGTTTGCGTAGAATTTTATTAAAAATTTTTTTAACTAATTAAATTCTTTTGGATTTTTTTTATTAAAGTATAGTAAATATTAAAAATTATTAAATATTGAGGAAAATTTTTGAAAATAATTAATCAATTCTATTTTTTAATTTCAATTGTTTTAATAAAATTCAAAGTTTTTGAAAAATAAAGGAAAAAAATGTTTATAAATTCTATTTTTCATTTAGAATATTCAATTGAAAATAAAACTGAAAATTTTCGAATTTTTAGAAAATAAAAGAGAAAAAATTTTTTTTGAAAAAAATGTTCTGTTAAATTTATTTACGAATATCTTTAATTGTTAAATTATTCGAAAACAATAATTTCTTTTCTAAATATTTTAAATATTTAATTATTATTTATGGAATTCATTTTTAAATCAATTTTTATTACAAAATTCTACGAGAATTTAATTATTAAAATAAAAAAGTAATCAATTTATTGAATAATTAAATGTTTCTTAAAATTTAATTCTTATAAAGAATTTTATTATAACAAATTTTTAAATAATTGAATTCTTTTGACGAATTTTTAAAAAAAATTTTAGAATAGTTACTTTTTCAAGAAATTCGATTGAAATTGTATTAAAAATAATTGAAATTCTGCGATGTGTTTTATTATTTCTGAAAATAAATGAATTATTGAGAAGAAATTTATAAAAAATTAGTAAATATTTGAATTCCTGGGAAATTTTTATTATTTATATGAAAATAATGAAATGTTTGCGTAAAATTTTATTAAATTTCTTTTAAATAATTGAATTCTTTTGGGTAATTTTATTAACATAGTAGACATTAAAAATCATTGAAATGAGGAATGTTTTTGAAAGTAATTGAAATTTTGGCACAGAAATATTAAAATTTTTTAAAAATAATTGAATTTGAAAGAAGAATTTTTTTTATTTATAAAGATAATAATTGGGATTTTGTAGAGATTTTTTTTTGTAAATTTTCAACATAATTGCATTTTGTAATAAGAATTTTATTACTTTTGAAAATAATTGAATTTCTGCAATAATTTCTAACTTCTTCAAAATTCAATTTTTTTTAGTGTTTTTAAGGGCATTTGAACCATTATGACGTCATGGCTTTAGATCAAAATGCTTTGCACAAACTATGACGTCATAATGGTTCAAATGCCCTTAACTAAAATTCTTCTATAAATCCATTATTTTTAATAATTAATTAAATATTTTCAAATATATTTTAATAAATTAAATATTTTTAAATTTAACTAATTTTTTAGAAGATTTTGAATTATTAAAATTTTTCAAAAATCAAAGTTCTTTAAAATTTCTAATTAAATTGATTTAAAATTGAAATTTTACAAAATTTTAAATCAAAATCTTTTGAAGATTAACTATTTATGGAAATTGTAAACTTCTAAAATTGAATTAATGTTGAAATATTGAAGTAAAATTAGGTTTCAAGAAAAAATACAATAAACAATTTTCCAAAATTTCGATCAAAATTCCCTGACTTTTCCAAGTTTTTTCAAGGTTTATAAAATTCCCTGACATTTCCAGGTTTTCCAAGTTTGCAAGTTGCGTATTAAATCAAATAATATTTATTGGAGTGAATTAAATGGTATTTGAACCAATAATTTCAGTATTTGAAGCAAATATGAATTGAACCATATTTAATTGACTTCAATAAATATTATTTGATTTAATTAAATATTTAATTGATGTCAATTAATCAATAGTCAATTAATCGGTTATTTAAATGAAATAAATTTCTTTTTCAATGTAATTAAAAATAATTTTATATATTATATGTGAAATTAAAAAAATTATAATTCAAAAAGTGCAGGAAATGTTTAGTCATAAAACTACACTCACAGAATGAATAATTAAAATAAAATAATTAAAATAAATAAAAAAAATTTCTGGAAATAAAAATTGATATTAAAAAAAATTCCTAATTCAACACAGAAATGAACGGAGGAATATTGATCGTTAGAATATATTTTCCTTCACGTTAAATATGCGATAAATCTTATAAGCGTTTTAGGAGAAGGGGGAAGAGGGGGGGGGGGGGGGTAATTACAGCGGTAATTAGGGCTATTAACTACGGTAATTTAACATCTCTGAAGCTCGCACCAGTCGGTACTTCCTGTTGCAGATGCGCATTTTCCGATCTCTCTAAACGTTCCTCCCTGATTGAAATTGGTTGGTTGAGGCCTTTATCAAGAAGCACTCGTGTTGTGAGGAAAATGAAAAAAACCAAAACACACCAGGTGATGAGCAGTTTGTACCATCGTGTGCGCATGTCCCAAATTTTATTTGTGATGGTGTGTGTCTTACATGCGAAGCGATGAAAAAATTTTCCTCCCAAGATTTATTATATTTCCCTCAGGATCATTTGAGGATATTTTCTTTTCTTCACTTCAACCCATTTGTAGGCTTCTTTTTTTTTTGTTTTTTCCTCTTCTTACGTTCACTGTCACTCACATGAAAATAACAAAAAAAAAAAATGGGTGGAAAAAATTGTATTCCTCCCTCTCCTCTCTCTCTCCCTCTGTGGGAGGGATAAGAAACTTTACATTTATGGTAAATTGCGCACGCGCCAACAATTTAATTTTCAGGGCCGTGGAAATGAATTGTGTGCCTCTAAAGCAATTTCACTGTTGTTGGAGCTCAATTTTTTTTTTAATTTTTATAAATTTAAAAAAAAATAAATAAATAAATTAAATAAATAAAATATTAAAAAATAAAAAAAATATTTAAAATATTTAAAATATTAAATATTAAATAAATATTTAATTAAATTAATTTTATTATTTTTATTATTAAAAACATGGAGATAATTGAAAATAACCGAGTAATAAAATCATTAATTTACACTATGAGAAATGATTTATTGAATAATTGGATGTTTCTTAAAATTGAATTCTCATGAATAATTTTTTTAACAAATTTTTTAAATAATTGAATTCTTTCGACGAATTTTAACAACATTTTTAAGAATAATTATATTTTTCGAGAATTTCTTTAATTTCAAATAATTCATTATAACTGAAATTCATTTATATATCAATTTTTAGAATTAGAAAATTCCACGAAAATTCAATTATTTCAATAAAAAAATTAATAATTTATTTCTGTCTTTGTTTCTGAAAATTGAATTTTCATCGAGAATTTTATCAAAAAATTTTTAAATAATTGAATTCTCTTGACGAATTTTAACAAAATTTTTAGAATAATTACATTTTTCGAGAATTTCTTTAATTTCAAATAATTTATTAACTGAACTTCATTTTTAAATTAATTTTTATTAGAATAAATTCTACGAAAATTCAATTATTTAAATACAAAAATAAATAATTTATTGAATAATTCAATGTTTCTTAAAATTAAATTCCAATAAAGAATTTCATCAATAAATTTTTTAAAAATTAAATTCTTTCGACGAATTTTAATAAAAATTTGAAGAATAATTACATTTTTCTAGGATTTAAATTTTAATTATTTTTAATACAATTTTAATTCTATTAAAAATAATTGAAATTGTGCGATGAGTTTTATTATTTATAAATATAATTGAATTTCTAAAAAGAATTTTTATTATTTATGAAAATAATTAAATCCCTTAAAAGAATTTTATTATTTATGAATTTATTGAATTATTGGGAAGAATTTTACATAAATTTTTTAAATAATTAATTTGTTTCCAAAAAATGTATGCAAATTCGATTATAAATAGTGAAATTACTTTGAATTTTGTAATATTACAGTGTAATTACTTTGAATGTTTCATTATTTATGAAAATAACTGAAACTTTGCGCGTAGATTTTATTAAAATTTCTTTTAAATAATTGAATTCTTTTGGAAAATTGTATTAAAATAGTAAATATTAAAAATCATTGAATTGAGGAAATTTTTGAAAAATAATTGAAATTTTGAGAAGAATTTTCATAAAAATTTTGAAAATAATTGAAATTCAGCGAAGAATTTAGCTATTTATAAAAATAATTGAATTCTTGACGGGAATTTATTTAAAAATTTTTTAAATATTTGGAATTTGGCGATGAGTTTTATTATTCATAAAAATTATTGAATCTCTGCGTAAAAAAGTATATTATATTTATGAAAATAATTGATTTATTGCGGAGAAAGTTATATTAAAAAATTGAAAATAATTGAATTTCTGTGAAATTTTTATTATATTTATGAAAAGAATAATTTTTTGCATAGAGTATTATTAAAATTCTTTTTAAATAATTGAATTCTTTTGGAAAATTTTATTAAAATAGTAAATATTAAAAATCATTGAATTGAGAGAATATTTGGAAAATAATTGAATTTCGGAGAAGAATTTTATTATTTATAAAGAAAACTGAAATTTTTTAAATTTTTGGACCCTATTTAAATTTTTACAAAGAATTTTTTTATGGTTTTGAAAACAATTCAATTTCTGCAATCATTTTTAATACTCGCAGTTATTATCTTCAAAATTTAACTGAAATTCATTTTTAAATCAATTTTTATTAGAAAATTCTACGAGAATTAAATTATTTAAATACAAAAATAAATCATTTATTGAATAATTTAATGTTTCTGAAAATTAAATTGCCATAAAGAATTTCATCAACAAATTTTTAAATAAATGAATTTTTTAGACGAATTTGAATAAAAATTGAAAGAATAATTACATTTTTTGACGATTTCAATTAAAATTGTATTAAAAATAATTGAAATTCTGCGATGACTTTTATTATTTATAAAAATTGAATTCCTATAAAGAATTTTATTATTTATGAAAATAATTGAAAATCCCTTAAAAGAATTTTATTATTTATGAAAGTAATTGAATTATTGAGAAGAATTTTATTAAAAATTTTTAAATAATTAATTTGTTTCAAAAAAATGTATGCAAATTCTATTATAAATAGTGCAATTACTTTGAACTGTTTATTATATTTATGAAAATAACTGAAAGTTTGCGTAGAATTTTATCAATATTTTTTAAAAATAATTAAATTCTTTTGAGAAATTTTCTGAAAATAGTAGATATTTGAAATTATTAGATTTATTGAATTATGAACAATTTTTGAAAGTAGTTAAAATTTTGACAAGAATTTTCATAAAATTTTTGAAAATAATTGAAATTCGACGAAGAATTTAGCTTATTTATAAAAATAATTGAAATCTTGACGAGAATTTATATAAAAATTTTAAAAATAATTGAAATTCTGCGCGATGAGTTTTATTATTCATTTATTTTATTTTATTTTCATTTATTTTAATTATTCATTTAAAAATAATTGAATCTCTGCGTAAAGAATTATATTATTTATGAAAATAATTAAATTATTGCGGAGAAATTTATAAAAAATTGAAAATAATTGAATTTTATTAAACTTTTTGAAAATAATTGAATTTCGGAGAAGAATTTTATTATTTCTAAAGATAATTGAAATTTTGACGAGTATTTTTTTAAATTGTCCAACATAATTGAATCTCTGCGTAAAAAATTATATTATTTTTGAAAATAATTAAATTATTACGGAGAAATTTATAAATAATTGAAAATAATTGAAATTTTGCCAAGAATTTTAATTTATTAAACTTTTTGAAAATAATATTGAATTTCAGAGAATAATTTTATTATTTTTAAAGATAAATTGAAATTTTGACGAAAATTTTTTTAAATTGTTGAACATAATTGAATGTCTGCGTAGAATTTTATTACTTTTGAAAAAAATTTGAATTTCTACAATCTTTTGTAATTTTTCCAAAATTCCATTCTTTTTTAATATTTTGAACTAAAACCACAACAATTTTTTTATAAATATAAAAAATTGTTGTGGTTTTAGTTAAAAATACTTTGAATAAAATGAAATTTTTTTGTCAGTGAAATTCTACATTAATTCAAAGTAAAAAAAAAATAAGTAAAGTAAAAAAAGAAAAAAGATCCCTCAATGAATTAAATTCAGAAAAATGTTGACTAACTCAGATTTATAGTGTATTCGTGATAAGTAAATAAATAATAACCCTTTAGAAAAATCATGACAAATATTTTTACCCCACTCGTAAGTTATGAAAGAAAAGTCAAACTAACATAGTTATTTTTTTTTTAATTAAAAGAGAAAAAAATTGTGTAATTAATCAAGTTTATTCAAGGGAGGGAAGTAGAGTCGTTAAATATATCGTCAACATATATATATAAGTTTGGATGTGTAAAGATAGGAATTATGACTTATAAGATGTTTATAAATACTATTTCATTGATCTGAGGTCTTTGCCCGTGTGGATCAATAAATCAAGCTCATTACTTGTTCTAAAGGCCAACCAACGAAAATCTCAAAATAATTTATCAACTTTGAAGGTTTCCGCAACTAAAATTTAATGACAATAATTTCTTGCAATCACAGTTTGTAAACGTTATCAATTTATCGTCACACGATACTATATTTGGAGAGAGAAAGAGAGAGAGAGAAAATAATTTTTTACTTCCATATATATATATATATATAATAAAAAATCTTTGATTATTGTTACGGATGAGTGCAGTGTGTGACCCAGTTGAGATTATTACTTCGATGATTTATGATGTACTTCTTTAATGGCTTTTTGAAATTAACACACAATGTTAGCGCATAGAAAAAAGTCGAACATTTTTATCTTTTAGTTTAAATATAGAAATTTCTGTTTACTTTATTTTATTTTTTCTTTCAATTTTTTCTTTTTTTTCTTTTTTTTCTTTTTTTTTCTTTTTTTTTTGACACTTTGTCTCTATTTTTACTTTCCCACTTTTCTTTTTATTTTTTTATTTTTTTATTCACTTATTCCTTAATTGCCTATTATTCAATTAAATTTTCTCTTATTTTTTCTACTTTTTTAATCACTTTTTCTTTACTTTTTCTTTATTTTTCATTCGCACTTGATTCCTTAATTGACTATTATTTAATTTCATTTTAATTAATCTGTATATAAATTAAAATCACATTTATGCACTCGCAATTGCATTTTCCCCGTTTATGTGTAGTATATTTACTTTTTGTTCGGAAAAAAGTAATTATCGTGCGAGAGAAACGGGAATCGATAATGGCAAAAAAAAAAAAAGAAGAAAAAGAAAAATGAAGCAAAAGTTCGCAATCACGACTAGTGTCAAGAAACTTGACGAGAAAAACGAACAACAATTTCTCACTCGGTGCTATTGAACTCGTTCGTATCGAAATGAATTATAATTTTTTGGAAGGAAAGTTTTTTTTTACGTTTTTCATTTTATATTTTCGGGAATTTATTTTTCATTGCGATAAAAATCATTTTGGCGAATTTAATTTATATGTTTGTAACATTCACTAAATTTGAATTAGTAAGAATTAATTAATTAATTTTTTTTTTATTTTTTTAATTAATTTAATTATTTATTTATTAATTAAATTATTAATTAATAAATAAAGTAAATTATTAATTAATTAATTAATTAATTCAATTATTTACAAATTCATTCATTAATTAACTGTATATTAGTCTTCGTATTCTTTCATTCATTCTTTCCGCACTTTGAAGTTAGTTTTTGTGTATATACTTTTATTTTTTTTTTCTTTAAAAAATATTGTTTGACAAATCGAAAATATGCAGGTATTTTTTCATGATTCATAATAACATAATATTATAAATTAGAAAATTAAAAAAAAAAT